CGAGTCACATCCCACAGACACACGGAACCAGACCTACCAAGTCACATTCCACAGCACAGACGTGGCTCCTAGCCTACGGAGGCTAAGGCTGTATCGTAATTTCTAATTGCTCTTTATAATAAACACCCAGAGTCAGATATTAGGGGTGAAAGCTGAAGATCAGAGAAGCAAAGCAGCCGGCCACTAGTTCTTACCTCTATGAAATCCTCAGACCTAGTGGGATATCCTGTCTCTACCAATCCTCAGACTGACTCCTGAGCTCCTGTCTCCTCCTACCTTCTATTCCTCTGTCTGTCAGCCACATCACTTCCCATCTCCACCTTCCTACTGCCGGGATTAGAGGTGTGAGCCACCACTGCTTGGCTCTGTTTCTCTTTTGGATTGATTTGGTCTTGTGTAGCCCAGGGTGTCCTTGAACTCACAGAGATCCATCTGCGTATGGCTCCCTAGTTCTGGGATTAAAGGTGTGTGCCACCACTGCCTGGCCTCTACGGATAACTAGTGTGGCTAGCTCTGCACTCTGATCTCAGGCAAGCTTCATTTACTATAGCACAAACAAAATATCACCATGTAAGGCCAAACATGGACATACATGGACATACATAGACTCGAGTTCATGAAAATAAGATAACAATTCCTCTTTACACTTCTGGCGATGGACAATTTTTGAAAATATCCCACTTTTTTTTTCCTCTTATGAGATAGAGTCTCACTGTGTATCTCTCGCTGTCCTGGAACTCACTCTGTAGACCAGGCTGGCCTTGAACTAACAGAGATCCATCTGCCATTTGCCTCCTGGAGGCTGAGATAAAAAGCACTCACCACCACACCTGGGCATCCTACCATTTATAAAAGTCTGTTTTCTAACTGGTTCCTTTTACTGAAATCTAAACAATGCTCACTATCCACTTACATCCAGTGCAACGGTAAAGTCAGGGAGCCTTGCAGACGTTCGGCACTGAAGGACAGGTGAGCTGAACCGAACATGAGAAAACAGTTTCCCCAGAGAGAGCAAATGAGCAGCATCCGACCCACACCACAGCCCTGCAGCGGGGCTAGAGAAGCTTCTTGTGGTTTCTTTGACTATACCCTGGCCCAGCCCAACAGGTGGGACACTACCCAATTAGGACAGCACATGTGTTTGAGATCCAACAAGGAAATGTGGAAATCTAGGCACTCCATCCGCTCCTCCCCACCACACACACACACTGGAGTTCTGAGTACCGTAGCTGTTTCTTTCCTGCACACACTCTCCATCACAGTCAGATGCCAGTGTCACAACTGAGAGAAACCAAGGTCCGCAGACGAGCTCATTTCCTGGCGGCGTTCTGGCTCCTGAAGAGCGGCCTCAGGTGCTGTGGGGCCTGTTTGCTTTGACTTGAGGGATTGCGTTCAGGAGTTATGGGGAGAGGTCAGGGGTCTGTAGTGGCCCTAACTTCCAAAGGGAAGAGAGCTTGGCTTTTCTGTATTAAGGACACAGATACGTGTCATCAAAGTTCCAGAAAAAACTGGAAACTCCTGTGCCTCCGGAAGGTGGTGCTCAGGGCACGAGGCTTGCTAATGGCCACGATCAAATCATTGTTTTTCTTTCTTGACTCCATCAAGCTAAAACTCTTACCAACACCTCATTCCATGCTGAACAACCTAAAGTCCCCACTTTAGGGGTCCCCCTCTCTCATTGTTCATCATTTTGCCCTTTGGGGATTTTTGTTGTTTTTTTTTTGGGGGGGGTTGAAGCAGTGCCTCACCCATGCTGCCCTCACCCATGCAGGGATCCTCCCAGCTCTGTCTCCCAACACGAGCATGCTCAGCTCCATCTTAGCTCCCAGTATCAACCATACCTCATGAGCAAATCTTCGAGCTTCTGGGAACCTGTCTGAATAAATTACTATGACATGTTAAGCTACAAGATTGGACAGTTCAATGGAAACCCAGTCAGAAGGTAAGAAAATAAACAAGGGAGACAGAGGTAGCATGAAATCAGCCATCTTGTGTGCCACACGCACCAAGACAAGAACAGCTGGGGCCAAGAGGACACCTGCTTCCTTCTTTTAAGCTTTTGCCACTCTACTGCCCTTAATTTTTTAAGGTTTATTTACGTTGTGTGTCTTAATGTTTGGCCTGCATGCATGTCTGTGCACTGAATCCTCGTGGTGCCT